TAATTTAAATTTAAAATTATAGAAATCTCCGTTACTTTATTATAATGTAATTTACATGATTGATATTTAAATACTTAGAATAAAGACGACAAATAGATTTTATAAAATAAATTAAGAAAGAAAATAGTCAAAATGGTGTTCAAAAATGTTACCCATGTCCTATTTGATTTGGATGGCTTACTTATCGGTAAATTCTGATTTTACGTAAAATTATTTACTTATAACCTGTGTTGCTTATCATTAAAAATATATGTGAAATTATTAATTTTACTGTATAATAATATTGAATAACCTTAATTCTTATTACAGATTCAGAACGATTATACACTGAAGCATTCTCGAATGTGTGTGCCAAGTATAAAAAGGAGTTTACTTGGGAATTAAAGAGGAGCATTTTAGGTTTTCAAGGACATGAATGTGCAGAGAAAATAATAAAAACACTAGATCTACCACTCACTGGGGAATCTTTTATGGAAGAGTGTAAAAAAGAATATGAGAAAGTTTTTGTGAATGTTGAACTTATGCCTGGTAAATATCACAAAATATTTTTATTATTAAGCTGTCATCAATCTCTATGTGGTCTTAAGAAATACAAGAACCAAAATCTTGCGGACAAAAACTATCTCACAATTTTCTCAGTCATATAATTATCATTTAAGCATTGATTAGTGTATTGATCTAACCCTAAAATTATAGCATTCAACTTCCTTATTGTCCACTGTTATGAAAAATAAATAAGTTAGGATTTTAATTTACTTTAAACAATATGGTATACTATATACACTAAATAATAACTTAGGATGTAATTAAAAATGAAATTGATTATTGAAATTAATTTTGATATTATTCTGCGAATCTAAATTCTGTACACATTTTCTTGTAGGAGCACAGAAATTAGTAGAACATTTGCACAGCAAAGGTGTACCCATAGCTTTAGCTACAAGTTCAGGTCAAGACAGTGTTGACATGAAAATGCAAAACCATAAAGATTTCCTCGGTAACTTCCACCATCTCACCATGGGTACCACTGACCCTGAAGTTACCAAAGGAAAACCTGATCCTGCTATATTTTTGGTCTGTGCTTCAAAGTTTCCTGACAAACCTGAACCAGAAAAGGTTAGTAGAGTAGGAAATTTTTTGATATCTACAATTTCATAGTGGTTTTGTATCCAAATATCAAACCCAAATGAACTCAATAATTACATTTTTTGAAGGTGAGATCCTTGATTTACAAAATTATAGCCTATTTTTAAAATGAGATGATATGTATTGACTTATTTAGAACTTCTTGATAATCTTGATATCTTTTTAATATTTTAGTGCTTAGTGTTTGAAGATGCAGTGAATGGAATGAAAGCAGCATTGGCTGCCAATATGCAAGTTGTAGTTGTGCCTGATCCTCGCATAGACACAGAAGAATTAAAAGATGCCACATTGTGTTTGAAATCGTTGGAAGATTTTCAACCAGAGCTTTTTGGTTTGCCTTCGTATGATTAGACTTGTACTTTTTGACATCTTTTTATTAATTTAAAATTTGCCTTTGGTTAACATCAAATTTTGACATTGACAGTTGTAAACAAAAAATACGTCTTTTAGGTTAGGACCAATTTATTTTTTGTTATTTGTTCTTTAAAAGCCTTTTAAATATCTTTTAGATTATGAACTATTATTTTTTCGTAATATGTATTTGCAACGTATTAGTAAGAAAGTCACGTTTGCATGTAGTAAGTGTAAGGATAAATGTTTTCAGTACGAATCAAATTTCCTACCTCTTTTTTGTTCCTTCCGAAAACAGTATTAATTTAATTAGTGCATAGAAATATGTAATATTTCAACTCTTAAAATTACAAAAATGCCTCTGCTGTAGGATTTTCAGTATAATATCTAGATAATTCTAGTTTGTTCTCATTTTTATAAGAGCCTAGAACCAAGGAACGAAAATGTGATAAGTTACTGACGAAATGAAGGGTAACTATGTTACGTTGATGAATGTGTTAAACATCTAGGTGGTGATAACCAGACTTGAAGTCACTGTATATTTTTAGCCTACTTCAAAAAGCAGGAGGTTATATAAGTATGTTTTTTTTTGTTGCTAGCCTGTAGCAAATTTTAATTTTTTATCTGTGTAACAGAGTAGGTATCAAATGTCCTAAAGCGGCAAAAGTTTACTTATACGTATTTAGTCACATTGGTGTAATTTATTGTATCAATTCTAGTCAGTGTTTGATGTCTGACAATAAAATATTTAAGTGTAATTGTTTTTTTTATTTTATTTAACAAATGTACTAAGCCACCAATAATTTTCAAATATTCAAATATCACTTACTACGTTGGAACAATAGGTGTTGCAAACATAGAATTCACCACAGTTTATTCATTCCGTAGAAATAGTAGGAAAAAACAATGTTAATGTGAATAAAATATAAATTTTATTGATGCATACATAGTAAATTTTACGCTTTTTAAATCTATATTACTGAACTAACTGCAAGTTTTTTATCTTGACTAAAAACATTTTAACTGCCATTACAAGTTTACAAGTCATGTTTCGACCTCGTGAATACGAAAATTTGTTACGGTAAGTAGTGTAAAGTTACTAAAACATATACTAATGCTGGTTTAAGTATAAAAAATAGAAACTAAATCAAAAACTTGAAACAAAACAAACAGTTTTTTCATTGCTTTACATTTATAATAGCATACAGATCTAATTATGTAAAATTCGAGGTTATATTAAAGCACATGATCCGTTCATCAATGTCCATTAGTTTACAGTTTTTACTGAACAGTCAATCGACTGAAAAAATCAACTGACTAATTAAATGTTGCCTAGTCACGTACAGTTTGATTGTGCAATTACTACTGAACGTAAGGTTTTTCATAGGGATTGGGGATTTTAAAACATGTTACAGCAGTGAAAACACAATAAAATAATCATACGATTTAATTACTTTGGTTGTGTGTATGGTGGTAGGCCAAACAATTCCGGTTTAAAATCTACCATAGAGTTTAATATAAGTGTAGCTTCGGGAGCAAGCGATCGATCAAGTCTCGGATCTGGTATCATCACGACTTGCATACCAGCGGAGTGGGCAGCTTTAACACCATTTATCGAGTCTTCGAATACTAATACCTGAAACATAAATAAATAGTTTTAGGTAAAAAATTTCGACCAATTTTGTTAAAACTTTGACGTTCACAATTTATGACGCAATTTCATTAGTCATCAACGCCCTCATTCAAGTGAGAAAGATTTCTGTTTACGCATGCGAGAACCGTTTTTATTAGTCGTTTTTCATGCGTTGTGTAATATTCTTCACTGCCCTTTATACTCATTAGATTCCCTACACGCTTCCTTTACAAGGACCGATAAATTTCGTTATTTATTAGCCCGTAAGAGGGGACTCGTCTAATACGAAATAACGACCGAGTTAACGGCTAACGAAATTGAGCCATTTTTTTAATATTAGCAGATTTTTATTAATCTACTAATATTTCATGTATCATTGCAAGTAAGCACAAAGCTTGTGATAAGATATACGACAATAGTCGAATTGCGGGATTCGAACTCTCGACCATGTGATCCGAAGTCTTTAACCATTAGCAAAAAGTATATAAAATGAAGATGACCATTAGGCTAGAGGCGCTCCAATTAGCTACTAGGTTGGAAACTTGTTATAACAAGATACAATCGTGGTAATACATAGCTGCTAAGGTAATAGTTTACGGTGATATTCTAATCTATTTTGAAAGTCGTACGAATAGCATAAATATAGATTTTTTTATTTCCATTGTAATATTCATACATAGTTGCCTTTACCATAAAATAATATGCTATAGCATTTATAACACGGTCACGGCGTATCTTAACGATAAGCCAAGCAACATGAGTTACAATTTAATACAAAATTTAATTGTATCATTGAAAAACAAATTACTTTGTAAACAGAGTAGAACATAGACAAGATAAAACTTATTTTTTCAAACTTGAATAACTTCGCATTATAGATTAGGTAATAATTCTAAAATAAAGTGTTTTATCGATTTTTTTTATTTTTTTTTCTTTCTAGTTACCTTTTCTGGGGCTGGTTTGTCTGGAAACTTGTCTGCAGCCACGAGAAATATATCCGGATACGGTTTTCCTTTCTTCACTAAAGGATCAGAAGATCCCCATGTCTTATATTTTAACATATCGAATAGTTCAGAGTGATTCTTTACTTTTAAATCATAGGTTTCTTTACTGCTACTCGTTGCTAATCCAATAGGAATGCCGTTGTCACATAAATGTCTTATAAGTGTTTCGACTCCTGGAAATAGTATTGCGAATTCTTTATTTTTTTACTAGAAGTCGCCCGGGACTTATGTCCGCGCGGAATTTAAAAAAAAATAATGAGTAGTATGTCTTCTCCCAGAATATGTTCTACAGCCGTGCCAAATTTCATCAAAATCCGTTGAGTTGTTAGGGAGATACCTTCAAACAAACATCCATCCATCCATCCAAACTTTCGCATTTATAATATTAACAAAATCGAAGCGATGGAATTATGTCACATTAATCTCTGTCTACCCCACTACAAACGTAAATCCGTTTGATTGTATATATAATTAGCATTGCTGAGACCATAATTTACTATAATTCAAGTTTTAAAAAGATGCAATAAATTTCCGATAAGCGCAAACTTCATATTTGAGACCATGAAAGTTCTATAACGTTTGTTGTTATATAGACAATGAATATTCAACGCTGATTAGATTCCCTTGTGGGTTATATCTGTATAATAAACCAAAAACACGCAATAAAACTTTGTCGTATCTTGGATAAATATAGTTTATCAACATAAAATCTAACCTAAAAAAGAAATATTACAAACCAGGCATAATTTTAGACTGTGGAAACAATTCTTCGTAAATGAATCGTGTTTCTTTCAAAAACTCATCGACTGTCAGCGGAAGGTCAAGGCCGTTGATAATAGAGGCGGCAAATTCCCTCGTCTGTTGACCCATTATCCTACACTTCAAATCAAATGTAAACTCTTTGCCATATCTAGACGCGATCTTTTGAAAACCTATCGTATACAAGTCTTCCGTATCTGAAATAATATTGGGCACTTTACAATTTTTTCTTAAACAGAAATAAAACATTTTTTTCTCATACTCACTCAATATCAGACCATCCATGTCAAATAAAACGTGTGTTACAGGTTTATAAATCATATTTATTCACAACAATAAATTAAATAACAACTCACAAGCACAATAATTTGTAGATAATAAATAATTCTTTAGTGAAACTATTTTAAGACTAAACAAGACGTGACATCAAATCTCTACGGATATCTTATCTATGGTTTTAAATTAGCGTCATTGAAGCGCGGGAAATTTATTAATAGACAATGTACTAATTTACGTAAATATATTATTACAAACTATATGGAACTTTTAATATGTTAACAATACTTTAAACTAAAAAAAAGTAATTAAAATATTAAAAATAAACTTACGTCTTTTTAAATGGATTGGACAGTAAACACTAGTAATAATTTCCCAAAATTGGTATATTTTTTATTTATTAGGTGGAAATCTAATGTTTTCAACGAGTAAATAACTATAAGTAGATTTGCTACTTTAAAATTAATTTACTGAGCTTGTACACTTTCTATTTAAACAACAAAATTGTGCTAATTTTAAACTAAATGTATACATTCTCAATAAATAATATTAAAGTATAACTATATTAGAAATATTTCAAAATGTATACAATATCACAAAATACCTATTATATTTTCTAACATCAAAATATCTTCAAAAATTAAGTACATACAATTAGTAGAGGCACAATGATTTACTCAAATGGTGGTAAACCAAATAGCTGTGGTTGAAAATTTTCTAAGCTGTCTATCACTAAAGTCGCTTCCTTTGTTAGACTTCTGTCCATCCGAGGATCTGGTACCATTACAACCTGCATTCCTGCAGCCCTTGCTGCTTTCACACCATTGATCGCATCTTCAAACACTAGACACTAAAATAAAAGAAAATGTAGATATTGATTTTATTGATTTTGATTATATGATTAAGACTGATATTAGAAATTATTTTAAATCTAAATAGCAATTGTCCGCAACTTTTACAGTGCAGAATTTACACAACTACCCCAACCATTTCGGAGTTAGTGGTCACCCTTGACTTTGTTTGTGGCTTGTGGTCAGACAAACTGAAATTTGGTGGAACTTTTACTGGAAGGTAGCTTATATATAGCTATTGCATTTGACTGCTAGTAAAATATGACATACCTGTTCAGGTTTTGGCGAATCAAGGAATTTTGCTGCAGCAACTAAAAATATATCAGGATATGGTTTTCCTCTTTTCACTTCTGGATCTGATGACCCAAATGTTTTGTGTGGGAACAATGAGAAGAGGTCAGTGTGATGTTTATCAACTTTTAAATGGTAACCTTCCTCGCTGGAGCTTGTTGCTAGGCCAATTGGAATGTTTTGTTTATGGAAATGTTCTATCAGTCTCTTAGCACCTACAACATACATTATTTATTAGGTTATAAAGTTTTAAAAAGTTATAAATTACATTTTGTAGGTCATACCTGGCATTAATCCTGTATCGGGAAACAAAATTTGGAACTGCTCCTTGGTTTCAGTTATAAATTCGTCAACAGTCATCGGTAGATCAAGAGCCGTTATTAACATTTGGGCGGCCTCGTGTGCCTGAGTCCCCATTAGTTTTAATTTCATTTCAAACGTAAATTCTTTTCCATAGCGAGAGACTATATTTTGAAATGCTACTGTGTATAGCTTCTCAGTGTCTGAAAGCAATCGCAAAATATTATAAAGAAAGATTGTTTATTCAGGAAATATGTTAAATTCAAAAATATAGTTACCAAGTATAAGTCCATCCATATCAAAAAGTACGTGCGTTACCGGAGTAAAAACCATTTTATTTGCAAGTAGACTCAATTATACTTTTAAAAAAAATACCTCAGCGACTCAAAATCAGTGTTTTAATGTTTTATTTACAATTTATTTTTGGTATGGAAATAAATTTAAAAATACATCTGACATATGAAGACAGTGACATACGTCAAACATGTCTCAACTTCTAAAATTTACTGGTAAAATTTACGGCGAACGTGACCTTATATAACTTGTTATGTTAGATCACTTTGTATTCGCAATAAAAATTATCAACAGCCAAAATAAAACACTGAAGTACTACAAATTGATATAATACCCGTTCCCTGTTCGCCAATCTTCATAACAGTACATTTTATCGTAAAAGTACTACTTTGTAAGCGACTAAGTAGTTTTTTACAATGTGGAATTTTCAACGACGTTGTTTGAAGTAGTGGGACCGCAAAGATTCGATATCTTATATCTATTAATTTTATTATAATTAAAAAAAAATCGTACAAAGGAAATAAAGAAAACAGATTTCTACTTTGTGCTACTGCCAACTACCAACGGAATAATCTGTTCTGAGCATAATTAGGTAAAGCCAAAATGTAATCTTACGTAAGTCAACAAAAATTTAATGACCTGCAGATCAGCAGAGCAGCAGAAGGTTCACATACACTGTGAAGCTGCATAGAGCAATGATTTGCGGTACAATTTGCGCTCTGCGATTCACCAGGTAACTCGCAATATCCGATCACACTATAGCCGGAGGTAAAGTTCCGAAAATTTGCCGTGACCGAGGTGTCCGCGACGGTTTGATTGGATAGCTCAACGGTTCAGTCTATGCAAGCTGAACTTTAGAACCGGTTCAGAATTGATTTATATACTACATACCCATGCCATAGTCATGCCATATTTTATAAACTCTTTGGTGGTGACATTTCGTGTAGGTAGACCATATACTCTTTGATTTAGGCTTTCAATATGAAAGAAAGCTACTGAAAAAGACTTGTAAATTTTACACATTTGGTAGATTAATGGCAGTTAAATTTGTGACAGATCATTAATTTTATTTAGGGCACCTTAAATTTGTATTTCAAAAATAAAATATAGCAACTTATTTATCATGTTATATAGTTTAAAAACTAAGTTGTTCTAACTTAAAAAATCAAATAATTTTTAAATTATGCTATTATTAAAAATATAAACAATTTTTTGATACTTAGAATACGTTTTTCGTTGTATCATTATCGTCACGTATAATATTACATAGTCAAAAAATTTACAAGTTATTGAGTAATTGCTTAAAAAAATTATTAAAATTTGAGCATTAAATTAATATTTAAATCCATTAAAGCATTTAAATGGAGCAATTATTTACGTATTTTATTAATTAATTAAATGTTTAGCAAATAATTATAAAATTGGATCTGGAAATAACCAGAGTAATAATTGAAAATTAAACATAATTAAAAAATACATATTTACGTTGTTCAAAAAATGTCTAATTTCATTAATTAAATTACATAAAACTAATATATGTACTGAATTTTGCATTTTTCATGCTAATCGCGTGCACACAATTCCTGGACATAATCATGTTCAAGCTATTATTTAAAATTAAAAATAATTAAAATGGCAGTGACACGTAGTTCGACTTAAATGGCGTTTGCATTGACTTCTTTTTCTTCAACACTTTAAAGAGGTCCATAAAATATGAAACCTCCTTGGATGAGATGCTACGTGTTTGCGTGCATTAAATTCATGATATGAATGTGTCCCGGATGATCAACTGTTACAAAGCAAGAAAACTTCTCGTCATAACAAAGTTTCTTCGCATTCACACCGGATAATTTTATGCAAGCCAAAATTTCTTTCTTTAAAATTAGACGTAATTCGAAGCAACGAATTCAAGTTACAGTAAAAAATTGATCAGCAGGGTAAGCACGGCAAAATATTAAAGCTGAGCCATTTAAAAATTTCCACAACAAACTAACAAATTCAACTTCTATTTGTTATTTTAAAACGGAGAATTAAATAATTGGAACGTACTCACCAAAGTTGACATCATAAAACTTGATCACACCGTCACATCACGTCTTACTTACGTATTTTATACGAAACACCAAAAACAAAGTGCTAATTTGTCCTTTTAAACAATTTCCAAAAATATATTTCTGATCGTATGACTAGCCAATTAAAGAAATACCAATGGAAACACATCGTATCAGGATGTACAAACAAGGACGTGGGAGTTTCACTATCCCACTTCTGATCTTAAGGATCAGAAGCAGGGAAAATTAAAAAAAAACAATCTCTTATACACTATTACAGTACTTTTGAATTAATAAGAAAACTAACAGAATTGAATAAATGTAATTAACACTAAAATAATTTAAAAAAACAACATTAACTTAATCAACTATCAGAGTTAAAATGATTAATTATTTTGGCTAGTCAAACGGGCAGAGCTTCCGCTGGCTTCAGTGTTCGGTAGCGAGTGTGTCCCGAAAATGAGGGTGCGGTCTCTTATATTGGCATCACCCCATCATTATTTTTAAGTTCCACCCTCAGCTAACAATATATTTAAAGTAGGAAGTTATTAAGTAGCCATTGTCAACTGAATTACTGTTTAACGCATAGTGTGCAATGTTTAATGTTTATTGATATTGTAAAAGCTTCTAATAACTTTTAATTTGATCTTACTTTATAAGTTACGTTTTTCCTAGACTAAATAACATTATTATCGTAATTTAAGTAACGACCAATCAGAGCAGAGCACCTGGCTTAAGAGGGGTCGAGGCACCAGTTTTATATAAGGCGTTTTGACAGTTGTTACGAATATAGTCGTGAAGTGGAGACGGATCGAGTTGCTTGCACTTTGTCGTCGAGAAAAGTGTTTCTCCGACTGTTTCTGCGGCAGTTGAGTTTACTACGGAAAGTGACTGTCGGCGGTCGATGGGTCAACACCTTACCAGCCGAGGCA